TATCAGTGTCACTATGGTTTTTAAGAAGAATATTCAAACTTATTATTATTATTATTATTATTATAAAGGACACAGATTTTTTATCAGTAAGACATTTTCATTTATATTAGAGAAAATTTATCAATTTAAGCTTTTAATGATTTATTCAATTATGTCCCGTGGTTTGTCCTTTGAACTCTCCTAGCCTCCCAACGTGAAATAAGATCAGATTAWTTTTTCTCAAATCATGAAGTCTTGGTCATAATGGTGATGAGAAACATTTTCTCTTCCTGGTGAAATCACATCTAATAGTGGATTTATGAATAACTCTAAACTAATATTAGCTCTGCAGAGCCGTAAAGAAGAAGTGAATAAATGTTTGTAATATTGCTTATTGATGACTGAAGGTACTCACTTTTTAAAAACATTTGCACAGTCCGTACAGTGACCTTAAGTGAGCCGTGATCATAAATCTGACCCTTTAATGCATGTGGCTGCATGTTTCTGCACTCATAATGCCGTTCCGCCTCCTTGAATTATTGATGCAGGCCGGCGTTGTGGATCCTTTCGAGCTGGCGGTTCAGCTGGGCAGCGAAGGCCTCAGTGCAGCCACAGGGGGATGCTGCAGCACACAATCTGCTGACTGCTGCAAATGATGATGGGAACAGCGCAACACACATCCGACATCCCTCTGTGTACACATGATTGTAGCAGTTCAAATAACTTCAGTGCATCAATACTGTTTACACAGCTCTGAGACAAATTAAAGTTTCTTTAATTTCACAATATATGTGTGTGTATTTGAGGGGGAAAATACTTTTTTTCTATAACCTGCTCACAGCATATCTTCCAGTTTTTCAAATATCGGTAAATATTTTCATGTAGAGCATTTATTTGTAGAAAATGACAAATGGTCAGAATAATGGAAAAGGTGCAGTGTTTTCAGACCTTAAATAATGCAAAGAAAAATGGGTCATTCATTTATATTTTAAAATCCTAACATCAATATTTGATGCAATAAACCTGATAATTATTTACAACTYTCACTTGTAAAATGTTTCTTTTCTACTCAATAGTTTAATTTTTATTCCAGTTACTTTTTAGCTACTCTTGGCACTGGTTTAGCTCAGAGGTTTATAGTAACTACCGTATTTATTCATGTATAATACGATCTCAAGTATAATACGATCTTTTTTGAGCTAAAAAGCATTAAAAATCTAATTATCAATAAACCGTGTATAATACTACTCCCCCACTTTATGGATAATTTTTAGGGTTAGATTTCTAGTATTATACATGAATAAATACTTTGTTACAGTACTTAAGTAATTTTTTTGAGGATTTGTAAATTTACCAAGTAATACTTTTATGTTTGACCTACTTTTACTTAGTTACTTTTAAAACCTAAAAATGATACTTTTACTTTCAAGTTTAACACCTAGTTACTTGTTACAAATTAAATCTGTCTGAACTCATCATGAAATTTATGTGCTGTAAAAAATTAAGTGTTAAATTTACTCAACTAAATCATATCAACTATTTCCACTAAGCCAGTAGAGTAGATTTGAGACGATATACATATTTTATTTTAAAGAAATTGACCAAATTAATCAACTTGGTTTTGTGGAGTCAGTTTGGTTCAGTAAATTTAACAGTGTATTTGTTAGAGAGAGTGGAAATGTACTTTTACTTCTACTTTCCCAGTGTTTGTGAACAGTTTTATGACTTTTACTTAAGTAGTTTTCTCATCAGTGACATTTATTTTTTACCGAAGTCATTTTCTGCTAAGGTACTTTTACTTTTACTTATTTTTTTCAAGTACTTTATAGACTGTTAGGGGGTCATTACATAAGATTTGATTCAGGTGATTGCCTAGTCCTCATTAAATAGTATGAGGTGCTGCTTGAGTTGAAATTCTTCCACTTTTATTTTGAAATTTGGAAACTGGAACTAATGGAAACCACTGCCTTAAGGCACACAACTTTATTGCAAACAAATGATAGTTTTGTGGCAAAACGTAATTACCTCAAATTAGACTCGAACAGTAGTGCAACTTCTAAAATATGTTTTCTTAAATCTTAAAGAATGTATGTCACCTTCCAGGCCAAAGTTTTGAACAAATATTTCACATGACATGCTATCACTCAGAATATGTGTTGGGKATTACTCTCAGCCATTACCCCATCCAATTTAAGCTCAATATCTGTCAAACTGACTGAATTATAGCCATTTTTGTGTTGACTAAAGATGATAAGCTGTGGTGGCCACCTTAAGTCAGGCTGACCTGAAAATTTAATCAGTTGTAGGTGTCTATCCGATGATYAGTTCCTAACATTGCAATTTAATTTTGTTTATTGGTTCATAAGTTATTTTGCTAACAGATTCTACATTAAGGCCAAAAGGAATTAAATATTTGGAATAAGTGATGCATTTGATCTTTTTCCCATGCAAAACCATGCCATTGTTACAATGTAACCTTTTTTCATGCATTATAATTTCTAATTTGTGGATTATTATTGTTATTATTATTATTATTATTATTATTATTAGTATTATTATCATCATCATCATCATCATGCAGTGTGTCAAATATGCTTTTAAAAGTCTGTCTGCCTCCTAACATGAGGTGCACTTGTTTTGGAATCTGATTCGCCGCGGAGGCTGCGAACGCCCCGCCCCCGCGGCCTTTCGCCGCTCCCGATTGGCCGACGCTGTCGCCCGTCTCGGGGACATCAAGAGAGGCACGAGTTGGCCCGTGAGCCTGCGCTCGCTAGTCCTCAGTGTCGCACACGCAGCGGTAAAGAGCAGGTCCCGATGCTCGAGTCACGGCAGCCCTGGGCGGAGATGAAGGCGGACTCCGACTGGCTCTGATTTTTAAAAGCCCTTTTCATTCAGCAGCTCGGTTGCCGGAGCGGTGATCAATATGGCAGATCCGTTATCCCAGGAGCCCACCGCTGCAAAAATGGCGTCACTTCACCGGGTCCGAGCTTTGGCGTTGATTTTCCTAAGTGTCACGGGCTGCTGTGTCACCCCGACCAGCGGCAAGGAAGGGTTCGARGAGACCGTCATCATAGGGCTCCGGCTGGAGGACACGGACGACATTTCCTTCATGGACAGGGGCTACCTGCGGGTGAGCGAGCGGTCCCGAGTGAAATTGCGGGTGTACGGGCAGAACATCAACAACGAGACCTGGTCCAAGATCGCGTTCACGGAGCACGAGCGGAGCCGGCCGGTGGGGGGCTTTGACAGCTCCTCGGGGGACAACCAGAGCCAGGAGGACTCCTCCGGCTCGCATCCCTGCGGAATTAGGACTTCGGATATAATTATATTACCCAACATCATCTTGAATCGCAAAACATCCGGAATAGTAGAAATCGAGGTCAAGCCTCTCAGAAAGACCGAAAGGAGTAAAGCGTATTACCTCTGCATCGCCACGTCCGCGCCGGCAGCGGCCGGGACGCACGACCCGTGGACGGAGACCACCTGGATCTACCACGACGGGGAGGACACCAAAGTGATCGTGGTGGAGGAGAAGAAGTTCCTGCTGCCTTTCTGGCTCCAGGTCATCTTCATCTCCATGCTGCTCTGCCTGTCGGGCATGTTCAGCGGCTTGAACCTGGGGCTCATGGCTCTGGACCCCATGGAGCTGCAGATAGTTCAGAACTGCGGCACGGAGAGGGAGAAGAACTACGCCAAGAAGATCGAGCCGGTCCGGAGCCAAGGGAACTACCTGCTCTGCTCGCTCCTGCTCGGGAACGTGCTGGTGAACACCACGCTCACCATCCTGCTGGACGACATCGCCGGCTCCGGGCTCATCGCGGTGGTCATGTCCACCATCGGGATAGTGATTTTCGGGGAGATCGTGCCGCAGGCCATCTGCTCCAGACACGGCCTGGCCGTCGGCGCCAACACCATCTTCCTCACCAAGTTCTTCATGCTGCTCACCTTCCCCGCCTCCTACCCGGTGAGCAAGCTGCTGGACTACCTGCTGGGACAGGAGATCGGGACCGTGTACAACCGGGAGAAGCTCCTGGAGATGCTGCGCGTCACGGACCCCTACAACGACCTGGTGAAGGAGGAGCTGAACATCATCCAGGGCGCGCTGGAGCTCAGGACTAAGACGGTGGAGGACGTGATGACGCCCCTCAGAGACTGCTTCATGATCCCGGGGGACGCCACCCTGGACTTCAACACCATGTCCGAGATCATGAAGAGCGGCTACACGCGCATCCCGGTGTTCGAGGGCGAGAGGTCCAACATCGTGGACCTGCTGTTTGTTAAAGACCTGGCCTTTGTGGACCCGGATGATTGCACGCCGCTCAAAACCATCACAAAGTTTTACAGCCACCAGCTGCATTTTGTGTTTAATGACACCAAGCTGGACGCCATGCTGGAGGAGTTTAAAAAAGGTGAGACAACCTGACTTATTCTGTCTGTCTGAGGCTGGACTTCCTGCACCTGTCTGCTCTGTTCTTTGGATAAGGGAGGCAGACAGGTGAGTTGTGTAACAATTCATGAGTAATCCCAGCTAACCTTTCATTCTGCAGGCTGGATGACTTCAAACAGTGTAAAACCTGATTTTCAGGAGGTGATGCTGTGTTTGCCTCCCTCAGGATGACAGCCTCAGGTGCCACTTCCTCCCTGGGGTCACTTCCTTCTTATCACCCCCCCCCTCCATCACTTCCATCCACTGTTAATGTTCACACTCTCCTCCTTGCTTTCCACAGCTGTTACCTGGCCTTCCTCCCACCTCCCTCTCATGTCTTCCTCCCTCAGATTTGTAAGCAGCAGCAGCAGCAGCAGGCCATGTGGGAATCGTGCAGCAGCAGTGCTCAGGTTATCAGGTGGGGGCATCTTGTTTGAGAACCTGCTCTCTGCCTCTCATGTGCTTGCATCTGAGCGATGGTGGCGATAACGCCTTTTGTCCGGCCCTGGAATGCTGTTGTGTGGATAATGAATAACAGCCTCTAACACTCCTGAGCCCCCCCAGTGTTTGTACGCACATGTCGTCTGAGAAACATGTTTACCTCACATCTGGTCCTTTTTTTGCATCCTATCCTCCATGTTCTAAAGTTATTGTTGATGTTTCTGATGCCATACACTCAAAYGCTCAAAGGAAAGACTGATGCCTTGTTTGCTCATTAGAATAATCACTTTAAGTGGATTAGTTGGGAGGTAAAACAGAACAAATCATTCAGCTCCATTACCAGAAATTAGGTGAAGTTCTCCACGCCAAGTTAGCGTTACATAACGTACTATTTGTTTTCATCACAGCTGACTAGTTTCAGACACGCACCGTTATTCTGAGTAAACAAATGAAGCCCACTGTCCTACTGTGCTACATTTGTGTGAAAGCGATGAAGCAGTCACACAACTGAGATGATCCATGTTTCTTCTGGACGTTTTCCTGCACAGATCTCGTTCCGCTATTTCAACAATTCATGTCTGGAAGCTTTCAGCTGCTTCAGGACGTTAGGGTTGTGACTTTTTGTATTGCAGCCGTTTGCGAAATTGAGCTTTTTCTGCCATTTTTGTTCTCATTGAAAACGAATGGAGCTGTCTTCAACATCCTTCCAATACTGAACTTTTCAGCTTTTGTTCTGGTTCTGCTTTTTCCAAAATGATTTCTGCTAATTTTAGCTTCCTTCAGCTTCATTTTAGCTAATTTTAGATTTTTTTCTGCTTTTTCAACAATTCTAATGTAATGTTTTGTGCTTCTATCAGCTTCTATCTGATAATTTAAGCTGTTTATGCTTCTTTCATCTGTTTCCTGCCATGTAAGCTACTTTTTAGTTTTTTTTTCTGCTGATTCTAGTTTTTCCAGCTAAATTAATCTTTTTTGATAAATAATTTAAGCTACTTCTTTCAGCTGCTTATTTTAGAAAATGTGCTAGATTAAGCTTTTTTTTTATACTTTTCTGTGTTTTTATTTCAGCTTATTTGACTATTTTACAACGAATTGCAACATTTTTAAACATCCTTGCTTTTTTTTCTGCAAAAATCTTTCACATTTAAGCATTTTTGCAGAAAATGACCACTTTTGTCACCAGCAGGATCTTCAGTCATGACTTGTGTTTTGACTCTGAACATCTCATAGATTGAATTTTACAGATTCTCGTCCATCTGTGCACTTCAGTTAGTATAACGTCAGGATAGTATTTTTTCCCTCAAAGTACACAAAGTTCTTGTATTTTGGTTCATCGTTGATCTTTTAGACTGCTATTGCACAGTTGTACAGCAGATTATTATTGTTTTAAAGTACATATTTGAATTTTATTTTAGCACTTGGGAGAAACTTAGGWGATTTTATTCCTTAATGTGTTTTCTTAAAGAAGAATCGGTTTAATGAACTGAGTGGACAAATTCTGTTTCTACCATGACACGTGGTGGTGGTGGTGGGGGGGGGCTTCGTAGCTGCTACATTGTGAGACAAACACGTGGTCTCATATTTCCAGCACACTTCCAGTAAATCACTGGGTTCAGTTCTGGTGTTTGGTGGCTGAGGCGGAGCRTTCCTGTGGCTGGCTGTGCACCAGAGAGAATTCACCTTCAGCCCCTCACRGACGGCATAAGCAACAGTTGTTGGGAGGGCGGCGGGGTCAGAGTTTCCAGTCAATCTGGCTCTGTTCACAGCACACTCTCGGTTCAAAGTGCTTTGTATTGTAAGTCATTGTTAATTAATTTGATGCCACTCGCAGAGCTGCATTGTCGTCTCCAGACTGTTGCACACACAAAAAAAAAGCCTCATATTAAATTGTGCTGGAGCAGCTCTGTGCACTGGATTAAAACTTTTCGACTATTTATTATGGCAACTTTAGCATTTTGCTATATTTCTCACATCACCACAGTGGTTACAGGTCAGGGGTTGCAGCCGGAGTCATGCAAAAACCTTTTAATGCAGCCAGACACCCCTGTGGAAAGTTCTGGCCCCTACATTAATTGCTCTCTGTCTCTGACGGCAACAATTACTGTCATGCAGGAGTTATTTGTCAAGCTGCAGGTTTGCTGGTTAATGAGAGGGTCGGTGTGAAGCCTTTATGGGACCAAAAGCAGGCAGCGCAGTCAAAAAACAAGAATTTGGCTGCCCTTCTGAAGGTCAGTTGTGTGATATTCCTGAAAGTCAAAGTGACTCAATCACTCACCAGCTTCTTGAGACAAGGAAGAGAGCTCATGTCATGTTATTTATAGGTATTTGTTACTAAATTACAGACCCCAAAGTTTTTTTTTCATAACTCTTAATATGTAAACGTTGCATATTGTTTTAATTTATCAGCTGCCTTGTAGAATAAAATCCCCCTATATTAATTGTATGTTCATGCAACTGTTCTTCGTAACCTGAAGTATACATTTTGTTTTTGCCAGATTCAGAGTAAGGTCTCTGGGGTGAAAAAGCCTGGCACGTCTTGAACTACTTCCCTGATTGTTACAATATAGGCCAATCTATGCTTAATTCAGATTCAGCAGCCTTCACGGCCTCTATGCGCGGCACTTTGTCTCAAAGTGAAACCCAGTCCCCCTCTGAGTCTTGTTGAATTTCTGACAAAGGTTTTGTGTTCTGGTTTCTATCTTTCGAGCTGATTTGTGCAAAGCGTGTCACTGCAAATGTCTAGAAAGCATGTCGTGGCTGTTTCGTCCTGTGACTCCTGGTCCTAACGCTGCAGGGAAAAAAAAGTGCTGGGATTGAATGGCATCGTGTTGGTAAGAACACTTAATGTTTTCTGATGAGGGACACCCCTTTGAAATCAGTAAGACTTCTGCAGCCAGCCGCTCACTTTCTCAGAACTAATTATCTTGAATCAAAAGGTTTCTGCACTCGCTGTTAGAGGGGACGGTATTAGTGTGAGATTGTGCCCTGTGTGCAAATAAATTTCTTAAAAAAAATACACTTTTATGCACAGCTGTTTATCACAAGTTGGGACATTTTTGCATTGGGTCTTTCTTCATTACACCTTTTTGTTGCTCTGACAGCTAATTATCATTCAGTTTAATGGGTTTGATATTAATAGCTGGTATTAATGATATTGTATTATTGGTATGGTATTATTTGGTATTAATGCCTTGACTAATAATAATTAATTGCAATAGAATGGTTTATTTTGTCGTCTCATTACACTGTGTTGCATAAAATGTTACTGCAGTAACATCCAGACAAGACAATCCAAAACTCTTGAGTTAAAATGGACCACTTTTAACTTCTTTATCTAAACAGTTTAAAAACATCACTGCCTTTTAGCGCCACATGGCTAATTAGCATCCCCGACATCCRGACCATCACACAGCTAACTGATAAGTTCTGCCACATTGTTTCTAGCATCCCTGCAGTCATTTAAAGTGAAAAAAAGTGATCAAATTACAACTATCTTTGCTGTTTTTTTTTTCTCGTTTAAACTCTGAAAAGTTTCCTCTCAACTGAGCTTCTGCAGCTTCTCCTGTCAGCTTGTCTGTGTCTGGTATTGAAAATAAAACAAACACTTTTTCTAAAAGACTTCAGTTTAGAGGGTGATGCTGAAAAATCAGACGATTCTGATTGCCTGATGAGTAATAGGTGTGTTCCTCATTAAAAAAACATTTCTACTTTATTCTGACATTATGAACTGTGCACTCTACAACCCTCCTCTTAACCTGCTCAGTACTGTATGTACATATTGGTATACTATTGCTTATATTAACCACACCTAATGAGTTTATTCTCCGTGTTCTAATTTTAGTTTCAGAAGTTCTGCATGTGATGCAGCATGTAATTATTTATGTTAAACATCACAGTTATAAATCGGTAGTAAATAGATACATAATTGACTTCAGCTTTATTAGATATCGACTGAGTTGAACTGTCGTTGTTACAGGACTTGCTTTGGAACTGGCCTACATTCTTCAGATTCTGCTGTGTTGTGGAGTAGGCTTTTAAGACCTGATTAGCACAATGATTGAGTGTGAATCTGGACTCAGTGCATTCCCAAAGCCGGTCTGATCTGGCATTATGACTTTTCTTTACATTTATTTTCCTCCTTGAAACCCGTACGACAACATTTGCCTCCAAACTYCTCCATTATGAACCTGATCAGCAGCGTACTGAGATGCCAAACCTGTTTGTATCAACACTGGGTTTCTCTGTTGYGCCACAAGTTCTGTTTTTGTTTTTCACCAAATAACCAAATATTTCTTTTCTGCATTAGCATCCWGGTTTGGGCCATTTGGCAAAGTTGTGTGTAAAAATCCAAAGATGCTAAATGAAGCAGAAGGATGCTGTTTAAAAAAAATCACAGTCTTTAATAGGGATATTTATTTATTCATTAAAACACCAAAATAAAAAGTCTATATTCAATTTAAAAAATCACAAATGGAAAGGAAGCAGAAGGAAGAAGAAAAAAATGCTAAACTAAAAAAAGCAAACCTATAGCTAAAATCAGCAAGATGCTAGTTGAAATAGCAAAAAGGTTAGCTAAAAGTAGCTAAAGGCTGGCTAAGAAAATTAAAAAGCTAGGTGAACGCTAAAAATAGAACAAAAGTTAAAAGTAGAAAAATAGATTTCAGAGACCAATGTTTTGAAGGAACTAAAGAAATGTCAGGGTTTGTTATAAAAGCTCAATATTTTAAACACAAGTCACAGCACCCATCTCCTGAATGAGCTGAACATTTTCACATGTGAATCAATAAAATAAAGTATGCAGAAGTAGTTGGGTCGCAATAAAAAGTACAAGGGAAAAATGGCATGACAACTGAATCAGAATCTATACAAAAAAACTTATGCTGTTTAGAACAAATTTTCTCATAAAAGAGTTTTTTCTTTCTTCTGGAAGACCATTTTATTTACCTGACTTCCTCGTCGATGCCACTTTTAGTCTTA